TACACAACATGTCTACACAACATGTCTACACAACACGACTACACAACATTTTACACAGCTCATGTGTGAAACAGCTTTTGTCTTGTGTCCTGAGAGAGAAAATGTGAATGTGGCTTTTCTATGGATATTACTCGATAATAAAAAATAATCAATGCGTCGCTGACATACACGTTGAAGAAAGTTTAACATCAGATGTTCGGTTGGAAACATCCAAACTTTGGTCGACTGGTGACGTTGTTTCTCAGTCTCTGTCCGTCTGGTGTTTTAATTCCAACAACACTGGGTGGACTTCAGTGTCTCTCCTGGGAAGAATTAAAAAAATAAAAGTGTGTCTTTCTGTTGCCGCTGATCGCTGACCTCAATCTGGACTCAGGACACCACGAGGGGTTGAAGGGGCGAAAGCCAAACCCTGTGACTGCCCGACTGCACTCAGTCCTGCGGGGGTCGCCCCGGGCCTGCAGGGGGGTGAGGGGAGGCCAGGACACTCTGGCAAAGTTGCAACGATTAATCTGTTGATAAGAGGATCTGTCGCAGCATGGCGCATTTATATCCAGGCAGACAGACAGGCCTCAAATTAGGCTCTAATCAACTTAACCCGGACCCAGCAGACTCCCAGCATGCCGTGCTGCAGCGTTACCTCGCCACACACACACACAGCAGTAGCTGCAATCCAAAAATTCTGGTGCATCTATACCTGAAACTTTCACAGAGAGAAATCTAACCGCCGGATGTTCGACCCGCTTTACTTTACAGGTCGTGTGCCTTCCTCATAATTTCTTTGCTTCGCTAAAACTCATATTTGCCGTAATGCATCAGAAAAAGCATCTGTTGCTGATATTAAGCACTCGCTGGTTTTAATGGAGACTGAATGTTTAACAGGCCAAAGATGAATTCATCACACATCAGTAAAAGTTGAGAGTTCATCTCTTCACCCACAGACTGTAAAAGAACCACGTCGTTTGTTTTAAAGCGTTTTACATCCTGGTCGTGGATCTTCTCAGTGAACTAAATGTCTGTGGACACTGATGAGTTCATTGGAAAAAATATACTAACAAACTGCAGTTTTATGAAATGCTTATTTCACTCGTCTCAGATTTATGTATCTGCCTCCCTTTCTCTGTGGTGGTGGTGCTGCTGTGAGCCCATGTCTGTCAGACAAGAAGCAGGGTATAAAGTGCCCAATCCAAGAATCAGCTGTAGCCCTGGATTAGCTTCATAGTTTCATTTTAATACTGTGTGAATTCAGCAGAAAAGACGTATTCAGTCTTTAGTTTCATTTGTTTTTAACGTCTCCATCTCTTCCTTCCTGTCTGCTCTGTTTGCAGGTGAAGAGACTACATGTCCCAGAATCCCCTGTGAGTGACATCTTCCTTTGTCTGTGTTTCCTCTCTCCCTCCGTCCGGTTGGTTGGATGAGTCCCAAACACAAACAGAACTGTGAGCAGTGATTGGGCGCTGAGCCAGACCAGGTAGCCAACGGGGAGCCAGGTAAGTGTGTGTGTATAAACCTGTGGAATAATGCTCCACCTAACTTTCGGTTGTGTACAAAGACGATCGATGACAGTATGTAAAGACGACCAGTGACTGTGGAGTTACACAACCCTAAAATAAAACGTGTTTAACTGGATGGTAACTGTCCGTCTTGTTTTTGTAGGCTAGCCATCATGGCGGATGTTGACCCAGACACCCTGCTGGAGTGGCTGCAGATGGGTCAGGGCGATGAGCGGGACATGCAGCTCATCGCTCTGGAGCAGCTCTGCATGCTGCTGCTCATGTCGGACAATGTCGACCGCTGCTTCGAGACGTGAGTTGTTTAGTTTTTTGGGTTGTTTTTGTATCAGAGGTCGTACTCTGTGCTCACCGTCCATTTTCCTGGCAGCTGTCCTCCTCGGACGTTCCTCCCGGCACTCTGTAAGATCTTCCTGGATGAGAGCGCACCAGATAACGTGCTGGAGGTCACAGCCCGTGCCATCACCTACTACCTGGATGTCTCGGCAGAGTGCACCCGGAGAATTGTGGGAGTGGACGGAGCCATCAAGGCGCTGTGCAACCGGCTGGTGGTGGTGGAGCTCAACAACAGGACCAGCAGGGACCTGGCTGAGCAGTGTGTCAAGGTGAGACCAGAACCGTTTTCAGTGAAATCAGGTTGTTTGGGAGGACCTCTCGATGTGTGCTGTTACTAACCTGAACAGGGTCAGAGTGGCAGATAACAGGAGGAAGCAGATCCACAACCATGTTTATTAATACACAGGACAGTTGTGTTCTTCATTCAGGCCTGGAGTCCTGACTCTGATCTGTTGATGGAGGCAGGAAGATGCTGTTCACGCTGCATCTCATGGCTTTGTGTTTTCATTTAATTCAACAGTAGACCATGAATCTGTCATCGCCTCTTTAACCGGTTTCAAACAGGAACTCCAGAGAATGTCCGTGTAATTGGGTCTGGACTTTATCTGGAGTTTGCGTTTCTCGTATGAACAGCGCAGGAGATTTCCTGTGCTTAGACTCAGGAGTGTTCAGGTGAGGGGCGGAGCAGCGGCAGGGTGTTTGTGTGCAGCACATCACAACTGGCGTCTCGCCTTAAAACCAAATGCTCTCGGATCTCGTGGTCTTCATTGGCGTCTTCTACGTCAATGGCTCCTGTTTTTCATCCTTAGACATTTGATTTCCTTTTTTTTTTGTCATTCGCATCATAAAATTGTCATCAACAGGCCCACTGCGAATGCTCCGGATACTCACCTGCTTTTTTCTCACGTGGGCTCATCCGGACATTATCCAGAGTTTTTATTAGTGGTCTGCCAGGAGGAGCTCTGGATTTGTGTTCTCACATCCAGCCCCTGTGGAGAACGTCAGGAGTAAAGTTCAGTGCAGGTGAAAGCATCTCATCTTTGACTTGAATTGTTCAGAGACGCACAAACCGACAGCAGCTCAGTTCATCGTGGTTTATAAAATCAAAACCCACTTAAATGAAATCTGTACGAGGTTCCTGTTAATTCAGGAATTCTTAGTCTTTTTGCTGGAGAGTGTGTTCATTCAGATTTTGCTGTGTGTCTGTGCAGGTGCTGGAGTTGATCTGTACCAGGGAGTCCGGTGCGGTGTTCGAGGCCGGCGGCCTGAACTGCGTGCTGAGCTTCATCAGAGACAGCGGCCACCTCGTCCACAAGGACACTTTGCACTCAGCCATGGCCGTGGTGTCCCGACTCTGCAGCAAGATGGAGCCTCAGGACTCGTCTCTGGAGACCTGCGTCGAGTCTCTGTCCAGCCTCCTCAAACATGAAGACCACCAGGTAACTGAGTCGGGTTTTACTGGTCAACTTTGACAATAGAATGAAAACATCCAGAATCATCATTTAGGTTTTTGTTCTGTGTCTGTTTGCTCCTGTAGATTTAAATCAGTTTGTCATTTCACTTTTGCCTTCATTCAACAGACTCATGTCAAGTTACTGAGATTTAGTTCTGGAAACATAGTAATTATGAAAAATCTCCTTGTATATTCTAATCATTGCCTCATCCATGTTTGAGCCGTCACCTGCGATTCAGACGGTTTGATTCAGCTGCTGGTTTCACTCTAACCGACCAATCCCTGTGCTCCAGGTATCAGATGGTGCCCTGCGCTGTTTCGCCTCGTTGGCTGATAGGTTCACCCGCCGCGGCGTGGATCCCGCCCCTTTAGCCAAACATGGCCTGACAGAGGAGCTGCTGTCCCGCATGGCGGCCGCTGGTGGCACCGCGTCAGGCCCCGCCTCTTCCTGTAAGCCGGGCCGGACCTCGACAGGCGCCGCCCCCTCAGCCCCCGACTCCAAGCTGAGCAACCAGGTGTCGACCATCGTCAGCCTCCTGTCCACACTGTGCAGGGGCTCGCCACTCGTCACACACGTAGGTCCACACATCTGAAACACCAGCACAGTGAACTGGAAGTCATTAACTAATTTAAGAGATGGAAGAAACACTTTATTTCAGAGATGCAGAAAGTCACCATCGTGTCGTATATTCTCTTCCCTCCCGGGTTCAGGACCTGTTGCGTTCGGCGCTGCCTGACTCGATGGAGTCTGCTCTGGGGGGAGACGAGCGCTGCGTTCTGGATACCATGCGGCTGGTGGACCTCCTGCTTGTGCTGCTGTTCGAGGGGCGAAAGGCGCTGCCCAAGTCCACGGCCGGGTCCACGAGTCGGATTCCTGGCTTGCGACGCCTGGACAGTTCAGGAGAGAGATCGCACCGACAGCTCATTGACTGTATCCGCAGCAAGGACACCGACGCTCTGATCGACGCCATCGACACCGGAGGTAAGAGGATGGAGCCCAGTCAGAAGTTATCAAAGCCTTTCTCACAGCCAAGGTTTTGACTTGTAGGTTATCAATAACCTGTTGAAACGTCTCAGTCAGTCATGACAGGGCGGCGGGAACAGATCTGTTCTTCTTTATATCATCTCAGTTGTAACATGTCAGTGTCACATGTTTGTTTTTTACAAGTCTGATAATAAGTGACCTCTGTTGCAGCTTTTGAGGTGAACTTCATGGACGATGTTGGACAGACGCTGCTCAACTGGGCTTCGGCTTTCGGCACGCAGGAAATGGTAAAGGAATGTGAACACACACCGACAGAGACGGTAAAACGTCAGCTGAATTCTGAGTGTTTTAAGACACACTTCTGCTTTTCTCTCGGAGGAACTGTCTGGTCTCGTTCAGCCCACCACTGAAATATCTCTGTGTGCTCACTGGATGGATTTCTATTTATTGTGGTTCATTGTCTCTTGAGGATGAATTCTACTGACGTTTGTGACCCAGTGGCAAAAAGACAGAATTCCTCTAAATCCTCTCTGTGCTTCCGTAGTGTGACAGAAAGGAAAGGCTACCTGTACATTTTTTGCACACACAGGTTACCATGGTAACAACTTCATTTCTAAGCTTTTATGTCCTGAGTCTGAACCACAGAATTAATGTAAACTGGTGCAGCCAGTTAGCTTCGCAAATTAACGTTCTGAGGATAAAATTAATGGAGACAAAAATCAGTTTTGCACAATTGTGACATCATTTCCTGTCATTTCAGTCTAACCAACCACACCTGATTTTTTTTGCTGCAGGTGGAGTTTCTATGTGAAAGGGGAGCAGACGTAAACAGAGGTCAGAGGTCATCCTCACTACATTACGCTGCCTGTTTTGGACGCCCACAAGTAGCCAAGGTAACACACACACACACACACACAGAGATTGTTTACATACTGTAAACGCAGCATCCTGAGTTTGGTGATGGAGTTTTACTTTTCAGGTCACACGGAATCACCAGGAACATGCTGCGTTCTCATCAGCTTTGTATATTTAGGCATGAAACTTGGTTTGTGTTTGTGCAGACTCTGCTGCGTCATGGTGCCAACCCTGACCTGCGAGATGAGGACGGAAAGACTCCTCTGGACAAGGCCAGGGAGAGAGGACACAGTGAGGTGGTGGCTATTCTGCAGTCCCCTGGTTAGTAAACCCACAATATTACTGTTACACTTCTTCCCCACAGGACAGTCTAATGTCAGGTGTGAACTGGACACTAGTGATCTTGTTTGTGCACGTTGTCAGACATCATCAGTGATTCCTCTTTAGTTAGTTAGCTCTGGTTGGTCTGGGTTCCATACAGAACCAGTGAAGTAACCCAGAGCGTGTGTTTTCAGGAGACTGGATGTGTCCTGTGAACAAGGGTGACGACAAGAAGAAGAAAGATGTGAACAAGGAGGAGGAGGAGGGCAGCGAGCCCAAAGGAGACCCAGAGATGGCTCCGATCTACCTGAAGAGACTGCTGCCTGTTTTTGCACAAACCTTTCAGCAAACCATGCTGCCTTCTATTAGGTAAGACAAGTTCAGAAAACGTGAACTATTCCTTTTTGAATCGTTATCGATTCGGCTGGCTCTGTCTAAACCTGGTTAATTTGACTGAGAGCAGATGGACCTGCTCCGTCTAATCTTAATTTAATTAGAGCAGATGAACTGTAGGCTTTGAGTGTTGGATGGAATGATTGAAGGAAAAGAGGAACAGAGCAAAAGAAACAATGAAAGAAAAGACGGAGATATCATGAGTTTGATCTGCGCTACACATCTGTCTGTCTAATCCAGCTTGTATTAAACTGGGCAGGTTGATTGGCGGTCAGGACTTAACGTTATTGATATTTTAATCTGTGAAGAGTTTAGAATAATGCTAATGCAGGAGAAGTACATTGATAGGGTCCATAATTCAGTTTCAGATAAGTAAATATTTACACATGTTCCTCTCCAGCTTCACCACACAAAATAAATATGTCATCAGGTCTGTCTCTCATTTTACTGAGACATCATCACTGTTGTGTTTTTTACTGCTCTGGATCTTCTGGTAAATGTTCTCCTTCTTTTCAAAAGCTCATATCCTACTGTCACGTCTAATAATGTTGCTGGTATAGAATATTTTCGGAGGAAGGAGCGTCTCTGAATGTTTTTCTAGTTTTGTGTGTGTTTTTGACTGTGTGTTTTTAGGAAAGCCAGTCTGGCTCTGATCAGGAAGATGGTTCACTACAGCAGTGACGTGCTGCTGAAGGAGGTGTGTGACAGTGAGACGGGACACAACCTGCCCACGGTGCTGGTGGAGATCACAGCTACCGTCCTCGACCAGGAGGTAACAGCAGTGATAATTATGTGAAAGTGAATAAAAAGATAACGAGCGAGGGAACGAGCTGAATGTTTCAATGGTGGAAATGAGTTGTTCAACTCTGCAGTCACACAATACGACTACTACCACTGCTAATAATAATAATATACTTTTTGTGATTGGGACTCGTCAACGTAAATGACATTGACTTTAAAAGTGTCACATCGTGACAGTAAGAGGGAAACAATGCTGACACCGTGTGTCTGTTTGTCAGGATGACGACGACGGCCACCTCCTGGCTCTGCAGATTATACGAGACCTGGTGGACAAAGGCGGAGACGTTTTCCTCGATCAACTGGCTCGACTCGGAGTCATCAACAAGGTGTCAACTCTGGCAGGACCGGCATCAGATGACGAGAATGAGGACGAAGCAAAGCCAGAAAAGGTGGGGGGGGGGGGTTTGTGTGTGTTGCTTTGAATGATGAAATGGAAAAGAGGCTTTCGATTCGTCTTTTAAACGTATTCACTGTTTGAATTTGTCATCAACACATAAATCAGACCAGGGCTCCACACTAACTGTTCAAAAACATTCTCTGCCTTTTGTGGAACGCAACAATCCACATATTAAACCTTTTCTTGACAGTTTCCATATAATTTGATTATTTTCCAATTCACAAGGTTTTGATATAATATGGATTTAATTCAGGATATTTAATTGTGCACTACCTATTTTGTTTGGCTTTGTGCATGGAAACCTCTACTTTCGTGCATTATAAATTGATTAAATGATCTTTCCCTGAGGCCGGATGTTCCCCTTGTTTTCATAGAGAAGACTCAAGGATGTTGAAGGTCCCATTGAGATAGAATATCTCTTCTGTCAGGGAGTCCTGGTCAAGATGAGCAGCAGTGATCTCAAATTGTAATTTGATTATCTCAGTTTTTTAATATTTAGTTTATAACCAAAATAAGAAAATGAGCAGCTTCAGAGAATATGTTTGAGCTTGGAAACAGTGTCTTTACAGTTGTCATAGTAGAGAAGGAATAAAAACATGTAAGAATATCACGAGCAGAGAAAAACAGGAAGTGTTTGTTCTGCAGGAGGAGGAGGTGCAGGAGGATGCAAGGGAGATCCAGCAGGGGAAGCCGTACCACTGGAGGGACTGGTCCATCATTAGGGGGAGGGACTGTCTCTACATTTGGTCGGACGCCGCTGCCCTTGAGCTCTCCAACGGCTCCAACGGCTGGTTCAGGTTCATCCTGGACGGAAAGCTGGCCACCATGTACTCCAGCGGGAGTCCAGAGGGGGGCTCAGACAGCTCTGGTACGAACAACACACTCGTGCCACACTCATTGATCTCTGGTCGTCTTTGTAGCCATGACTGATGCCGTTTCATCGTCCCCTCAGAGTCTCGCAGTGAGTTCCTGGAGAAGCTGCAGCGGGCGAGGAGTCAGGTGAAGCCAGTGACGGCCAGTCAGCCAATCCTGTCCAGTGTGGGCCCCACTAAGCTGACTGTGGGGAACTGGTCTCTGACCTGCCTGAAGGAAGGAGAGATCGCCATCCACAACTCAGACGGGCAGCAGGCCACCATCCTGAAGGAGGACCTGCCGGGCTTCGTCTTTGAATCCAACAGGGGGACCAAACACTCGTTCACAGCAGAGACATCTCTAGGTGAGTCCCAGCGTTACCCAGCAACCATCAGACCAAGAGTTTGAATTCACACCAGCCTCTGGTTGTGATGGTGGTTCCTGATGGTGGTTCATTATTAGGTCCCGTCCGTTATTTATTGCTTCACACTGAGACTGACTGATCTGAAGATATTCACCTTCTGAAATAACAACTTTACTATTGTGGAACTTTGTCATAATATTATAACATTATTCTTGAAATCTCTAGATTTAATTTGAATAGTCTGACCACAGTATGAACCCTGAGACTGACTGACAGCTTTCTATCAGCTGCAGGTGTTTCAGAACAAAGTGACTGTTGTTAACACACTGTGTGTGTCTGTGTGTGTAGGCTCTGAGTTTGTAACTGGCTGGACGGGGAAGCGAGGCAGGAAGCTGAAGTCGAAGCTGGAGAAGACGAAGCAGAAGGTGAAGAGCATGGCGAGGGAGCTGTACGACGACCACTTCAAAGCTGTAGAGAGCATGCCCCGAGGGGTGGTGGTCACCCTGAGGAACATCTCCACACAGCTGGAGTCCGCCTGGGAGCTGCACACCAACAGACAGGTACTGACAGACAGGCACATACAGATGCACACACAGGTACTGACAGACACAGACAGGCGGGTACTGACAGACGGTAAACAGGCTTTGTGTCCACAGTGTATTGAAGGGGAGAACACGTGGAGGGACCTGATGAAAACTGCTCTTGAAAACCTGATCGTGGTTCTGAAGGATGAAAACACGATTTCTCCATATGAGATGTGTAGCAGTGGCCTGGTCCAGGCTCTGTTCACTGTCCTCAACAACGTGAGTGGTCTCTTTAGAACCAGTGTCATGTCTCGTCTGGATGACATGGTAGCGTCTGTACAGATGTTCAGATGTTGTCGTTTCTTTTCCTGCAGAGTGTGGAACTGGACCTCAAACATGATTGTAAGCCTTTAATGGAGAGGATCAATGTCTTTAAGGCGGCTTTCAGCGAGAACGAAGACGATGAAAGGTAAACAACCAGTCAGCTGATGGTTGAAATAAAATCTCGAGATGAAACGATGAGTCAGGATTGAGTTAAACATCAGTAATAATGTTGGGTTGCTTTTGACCCTGCTCACCCGTCACTAAGACTTTTAGGTTGTTGTGAAGTTTGTTGTAATTTGGCGTTAAGTTCAAGTTAAATCTGTTCCAGATCAGAGTTTGACCTGTTGTTGTGTGTTTGCAGCCGACCAGCTGTTGCCTTAATCCGTAAACTAATAGCTGTCCTGGAGTCGATTGAACGTCTACCTCTGCACCTGTACGACACTCCAGGATCCTCATACAACCTGCAGGTGAGTCGCAGTGTGTCCTGGGCCTCAGGCAGAGAGGAAATGCTGTTATCAATGTCCATTTATCTGAGTCACTGATTCAGTTTTGTTCAGAGGAAGCAGGAGCTGCCAGTTGATGACGCACGTGTTTCTGACGCTCTGCATTAACTCTTGTGTGTTTTCGTTCCTCAGATCTTGACGAGGAGGTTGCGTTTCCGTCTGGAGCGAGCGCCTGGAGAGACGGCACTGATTGACCGGACGGGACGGATGTTGAAGATGGAACCGCTCGCCACTGTGGAGTCACTGGAGCAGTACCTGCTGAAGATGGCGAGGACACACACAACAACACAAATACCATGACTTCTCTTAACCCTGTCCCTCTGGTGATATTTCTCTGTTGTCGGCAGAGAGCAGCACTGATTTTTAACAGCTGGTTGTTCTGGTTGTTTCATTATCATTTATTTCTGAAACAATACAACTGTTAACATGTGTTTT